AAATGTTAAGAATAGAGATTGTATAGAGTCATTCCTAATGACCAAATATCGCTTGATTCATCTGTATCTTTAGAAATACCTTAAATTTAAATTTCTGGAGGTGCAAATTGAGGTGTTGCTTCAATGAATAATTCTTCACTTTTTGCCTTTTCCAGAGTTTGGATTGAGGAGAAATCACATAGTGCAAACTTAAATTCTTAATCTTTAATCTTTTTGAATACTATATTATCAGGCTTTACATCATAATGAATAAAATTTGACTTATGAATTTCTGATAAAGCATAAGCTATAGTTTAGGCAATTTTAAAGATATTTGTCTTAAGGTCTTGACTTCCAAGAGATGTAAGATTACCATCAAATAATTCGAATTCAGTATATAAAAAACTACCTGGTATATTCTCTATTGGATATGTTGTATTTTTCCATTTAAAATCTTTTAATTAATTCCATTACTCATAATTTTATTTGTAATATCGATTTTAGATTCTAAGTGCAACTTCTTCTTTTTGCTCTATTGAATTTATAAATTTTTTTGATTTGTATACTTTAGCACTTGCTCCAGTTCCTAACATTTATTCAATATGGTATTCAAGATTCTAGTACTTTATTATATTGTTTTCATTTGAAACTTGAACCTTCCAATCATTTTACATTTCTATTAAAAATACTAACTATTTAAATAAAAAAATTATCTAATTCAATTTCATTTATTAATTCTCTTTCATATATTTATATATAAAACAAATTAATATTTCATTATTTTATTATTAATATATATCAATTTACAGAAAGCTAATAATTTTATCTATTTTAAGTTGGATTAACACCTCTTTAGTTAAATTAATATTTATTTTATTATTATTATTATTATTATTATTATTATTATTATTATTATTATTATTATTATTATTATTATTATTATTATTATTATTATTATTATTATTATTATTATTATTATTAATCTAATTATTATGATCTATCGGATAAATTAAATTAATTGTTTTACTTTATTTATGATGATTACAATTTAGTTGATGGGTTTAAAGCTGTATTGTTTATTACATTATTTTGAATTTAAGGTCCTAAATTTTTTGCATAGTTAAACTGTTATTATTTATTATTCTAATTAAATTCAGAATTATTGTTATTTTTAAGTTGATTCTAGAATTGAAAATCTTATGATTATGGTTGACTTGCTGTTCTATTCTAAATTGTTCCATTTTATTGTATATTTTACTATGCAATCTGAGTATCTCTATCATTAGCAAATGGTTAAGCAAAATTTCTGGAATTATTAATTTCTCTCTAAACTCCAGGAGTTGTAACTCTACCATTGGCAAATGATTAAGCTTAATTTTTGGAATTATTAATTTCTCTATAAACTCCAGTATTTGTAACTCTACCAATAGCACCGTATTAAGGTTATTATTACTGTAAATTATTATTTAGATTAAATATTTATTTAGGTTATTGTTAAGATATCTATTATTACTAATTATTTTTTGAATCTACATCTTAATATTAATTTGTAATATTAGAATTTTGGGGAAAAATATTTTATGAA